TAGCTAAAAAGATATTCAGTAGCTTTCTCATTCAAGAGTCCACCTTATCTGCTCACATGTGGATTTTAAGATAAGTATTGGTAATGAGAGTAGCACAAAGAGGTTAGTTATATCATTAATCTTGTCAAATACTCTGCACCAAAAGTCAGGAGCTTTCGGACAATGAAATAGTATGCAGGCTAAAAAGCCAGATTCAGCTTTTCACATGTGAAAATGATTATAAGATTCTGTACTGGGGTGTGGGTATAAGGACTGAAAGATGATACATGATTTCCCATTCCACTTCATTGCTCTCAGTAAATTAATAACCTTCGAAGAAGTAAATACAAGTAAAGGCTAAACAAGTAAAAGACTAAAAAGGGAGAACTAGACAATTAAATTGGCAAAACAAACTTCCTGCCCTCTAACAGACAACAAAAATCTGTATTCTATACGTCTTTGGTGACAAAAAAATTCGTGATCCATTCAGTTCTGAGAAGCAATACATGCATAGACATTATGTTTTAGTAATCAGGCTATCACATTCTGTGTTTCTATCACACCTACAGAAAAACAGTGCAGCAGTGGCTTTTTTGGCTGACCTTCTACAAAAGAGCTTCATGAGAGCAAGACTGGAGAGACAGAAATTTTCACAGACTCAGAGTAAAGAAGGGTACCAAAATGAACTTTGAAAGCAAGACCTTTATGAGCAATGATCTCAAAGGTCAAATATTTTTAGCCCCCAAATTGGTTCTCTCTCTACTTTTAATAAGCAGCTGTTTTCCATATTATCATTTTCAGGTCAGTTGCACTTTTCCACCACTCCTGACCTTTCCTAATTTCTCTTCATTTTTTTTCTCTTTCCATATTATGTACATCATTACTGTTTAACATTTGCTTTGTGCTAGCTTTTAAAGGGCACAACCAGAAAGACTCCATGGTACTAGATTCTACACAAACATGTAATAAATGACAGTCATAGTTCCTTAGCTGAGCCCCTTTCCCCATTGCAGAATTCTCTTGGAACAGATGATGGTCAACCGTTATACAAATCTGGACTCTGTTTGTATGGACCATGTGCAAAGAGACTTTCCATCACCTTGTGAAAGCATTTCTGTAACAACTATGGCCCCTGGCATCTCCAGAAGCAAAGAATTACTATTTTCCTTCTTCCTTCAAAAAAGGAAGCATCATATCCCTTTTTTTAATAGTAAGCCTGATCTTTCTATATGACAGACATCTCAGCTAAAATGGGTTGATCCTCACCATTTTTTACTCTCAGCAATACATAATAGACATGTTCTGCCACTAACCTAATACTAATGTACACTTAAAATATATGACTTGGCTCATTGACATAATATCATCCACCGGTAAGCGCGCTGCGGGGAGCCCTGTGCCCCCCCAGCTGGGCGACTAGTGCCTCCTGGGTCTGAGAGGGACACCCAGGCTCCCCCCATGGCCGATATCCAAGCCAGGGGGGCCCAGGGATGTCCCCAACACACTTGTCGGCAGACTCAGAAGTAGACCAGAAATATTTCTGGTCCACTTCCGGGTTCACCACTGAGCATGTGGTGGGGGGGACTGCCCCCCCCCGCTCCTGTGGGACACTATATCTGCTCCAGCATTGCAGCATTCATGAGCCATACCTGGTACCTTGAGGTATGTAGAAAAATCACTTAAATCTGTGTCTATGACCAAATCGCTGATTCTTTGAATCAGCATTGAATCTTGAGATTCAGATTCAGCAGAACTGAATCAGAGACAGTGATCCAAATCAACTAATCGAATCACTGCCCCCAATTTGGGCTGAATCTGAATCAAATACGGCCCATTCACACACCCCTAATAAATTTAGTTATAGTTATAATACAATGCTATCCGAGACACAACACTAATCATTTTTTGTCTTCTGAGGACTGAGAATTACTAGACTTCCTCTAATACTGCTGTAGGTAAAAATTTGTTTTAACACTAACTATACTGCATAAGAAATTTATTTTCTTTAAAGTATACTGAACCAAGAGAAAACATCATTCCCCTTCATTAGAAATCCACTTTCTTTATCCGAATGCTTGCTACAATTCTTAAGAAGCATTATTTATTTCAAGTGGTATCTTATTTAGATACGCTTTATTTTCCTCTTAGAAAAAATGTATTTCCAAATGCATATGCCAAGTTCCTTCTCCTCTGTGAATTTTTCTTTAAAAATAAGTTTTAGGCATATAAAATCTATTCTGATATCACTAGATAACTTTATATGGTGACATTACAAGTCTTTGATTGTAGTGCCTCTTTCAAATCAGGACCAGATAGAAAGACTTATATTACCATTTTGGATGTTATTACAATTTGAAACTACAAAGATAACTGTCTGAAGCTTTGTTCAACTTGGAGCACTCAAGAGAACTGCATTCAAAAGTATAATATGATGCTAGTATTTTATCAGCTCAATGTAGGTGAATGAGGGAAAAATGAATTTACTTACCCGAATAAAATAGTCATATGCTCTGTAGATCAATTCAAAAAAAGTCTGCAGATTAAATAAAACCAGGCAAATATCCCCTTTAGCCACCTTCCTGACAGTTAAAACCTTAAAGTGATATTCAATGAAAGATTTGCTTGTGAACAATATAGTTCCTTGTCAAAAATTAAGATTGTGGACTCCACAGCCCAGCAGCAGGGCAGAGAGGGGGGTGAGGAGGCTCACTACTGCTACCAAGAGCCCCATGCTGCCACGGTGAGGTGCCTCCTGCCCGCCTGACAGCAACGAGGGGCACAACTCCATGCTGCCACCCCCACTACTGCTGAATGAGTTGTTGGCTCTGGATTTAGGATCTGGATATCCTGCCTGGTAGGGGTGTGCGAAACGTCCCTATTCGGTTTGGATCTGGCCCAAATCTGGGACAGTGATTTGACTATTTGATTTCAATCACTGTCCCTGATTCAATTCAGTTGAATCCAAATCTGAAGATTCAATGCTGATTTAGAAAAAGCAGAGATGTGGCCATAGACACAGCTTTAAATGTTTTTTCTACATACCTTGAGGCACCCTGTGCGCTCCCCAGTGGACCTGGAAGTGGATCAGAAGTGCTTCCGGTCCACTTCCAGGTCTGCTGCTGAATGCATTGGGGACCCCCCTGTACTCCAGTGAGACGCTCCATCAGCCCTACCATTGCTGCATTCATGAGCCACCTGGTACCCTGAGGTATGAAGAAAAACATTTAAAGATGTGTCTATGTCTGAATCACCGAATCTTTCCACATCGATTTGGAGGTGTGACGGCGGCATGACATCGTCACGGGCACACACAGGGGACAGAGAGGATTGGGGGGCAGCAACAACCCCTAAAAAGAACCCCGGGCCAGGTTACTTACCCCTGGGAGGGACGGCAGCATCGGAGCTGGGACCGCGGCAGCAGCCGCGGCCGCCATTACAGCCGCGCAAGCCGGCATCACGCTGGCTGGTTAAAAAGCTGTTTCCCGGACAG